AAACCAGAGTGCTGAGAATTTGGGGAGGAAATACAAAGGAGTGACGTAGTTCAATTGAGACACAGGTGCGCGTACATATCAAAGGCGCACAAAAAATAATTCCCTTCTGCTTGCCTTGCCAAATACAGTCGGCACATACTATGCAGGAAGAGAACAATGAAGACTAAATAATGAATGTAAACAGATTTGAGTAAAAGTATGAATATTCTTGCCAAACTTTAGAGAAGTCTTTTTCCGGCGAGGATGTGGCCATTTTCCGGTGAAGGTTAACCCGAGCAAATTACGGGCTCTTCCTCTAGTGCCAAACTGTTGATGTACGAAATTTGATCAACATGGGGGTTCAGAGAAATTTATTGTGTATTTTTTTATGTATATTTTATGTTGAATTTTGATCTGATCATCTCCAGAAAAATAAATGGATACAGATGATAAAGAAGGAGAAAAGATAAAGGCACACCGCTTCTGTCGTAGGAAAATAATAATACGCCCCTCAAACATATATATATATATATATATATATATTTGTTTAATGGGCCCGATATTATTATAAGCGGTATTATTTTTTAGCCCAAAATTAATATAATTGATATAATACATATCCACGTGTAATATTTTAATAGGCAAGGCCAAAATTTGATATCAACAAATAGTTAACAATCAATTAACCTATTTTAATTCTGTGAGTAATAACAAATCTACATATATGAATAGTTAACAATCAATTAACTTACTTTAATTTTGTGAGTATTTTGACTCTAGATAAGTCATATTTTAATTATCTTAATATATTATTTTTTCTTGTGTACTATGCTTTTGACACTATAAATTCCTAAAATTTGAGATTTTAATGTTCAACTTCTACAATATTTTGAATTGTGAATTTTAAGAGTATATATAATCTAAATTTTAAATATTATCTAAAATTTTTTGTATTCATCATTTAATATATATAAATATATGTATATATTAAGTTAATATTTATGGCAAAAGATATCTTTTGTTATAATTAGACGGGGCCAAACCCCGATTTCGGACTGATTCTGAGTCTGAATCGTCTATTAAATCCAGTTGCGTCTGACTTTGAGTTTTCTATATGTAGGAGTGAGCATCGGTGTGGTTCGGTGAAAAATCGCACCGAATCGCAAAAATCAAAAACCGAAAATCCAAACTAAACCGCACTGCTATGGGAAAAAAATTGAACCGAAACCGCACCAAAATTTTCAACTTCGCTGCGGTTCAATTCTGTTTTTCTTACTCCTATCTATATGGCCCTTATAGAGATCGGTTTCGCGAGTGTTTGTTTTTTTATTTGGAGTTCGTATCCCCTTGGTCACTGTATAATTCCAAAAGGTTGATTCAAACTATTTTAATTTCATAGTATGAGTTGACAATTTAATTGTTTTTGGAGTTTTTTATTATTTATATAGTTATTGTTTTTTTTAAAAAAAATTATATGGACATACAAGTAACACGCCCTCTTTATTTTGATGTAATAAGTGGATGGAGTACTTGGAATTGAAAAATTGTCCACTAATCTAAAGTCCAATCAAGCATTCTAATTGTCAAAATTTTATCTCCCTTCCGTCACGTTCCTACACTAAGTCGGTTTGAAGAATCTGATAAAAACGCAATCTCTCAACTAACGCCACGTATCAAGTACCGCCCTCTAAACAGACGGCAAATGAAGTCAATCTGGGTGCTCCGCCAACGATATCTCGACGCGTGGCAGAGGACCAGCTGCACCGCGTACAGACAATCTTTTCTACCTTTCTTTATCTTATTTATTTATTATATAGTAATCGGCTTCATCAAATTCATTCCAAAATCCAAACTCTCTCTCTCTCTCTCTCTCATCCTGTTCGCCCTTAGGGTTCGTCTCTCTCTCCTATTTTCTCTCTCTAGCGTTTATCTAATCTACTGTGATTTCCTGACGGTGTTTTGAAATTTTCTTTTCTATGGTGAATCGACAGGGAATTAAGAGGAGAGCTATTAAAGAGCCGTCCGAATTTCGTCTCCTTTTGCGAACAGGTCGGTGTAGGTTTTGGGCTAACACGCGATCGATACGTGCGTAATTTTTTTCATTTTTTTATTTTTTGTTAATTGTTGTTTGGTGGTGGTAAATGTCAGAATTTTTTGAAGGTGTTATGCGTAGCTGTTTTGTTGTGTTATAATCATTAGATAATAGATCATAAATAGGAGAGGATCTTAGTAAAATTTTAGATTTTCGTTGGGGTCGACTTGTTGTTGTGGTGTCTTTCCTCGATGAATGCTCGAATTGAAGGTTATGTTCAAGTATAAGGCCTTGATGTTGTTCTGGTAGATCTATATATGGGCCGAAGATTATTACCAGATTGTATTAGAAACAATTCTCAAATGAACTTTTGGATGTATATTCACGTCTGGTGGCAAATTATGAATGGACTTATAGAAAAGTTGGTTCTCCAAAAATTTCTTTCTATAGAAGTAAAAGGGTGGAAGACATTTGAAGAAGACCATTTGAGAAATGGACTTTTACAGAATTGCTCTTAAATGAGTACTAAAGTTTGGAGGAGTGGTGAAATTGTAGGAGACTGAAGCAATGGGGAGTGGTGAAATTGTAGAAGAGTTGAAGCAATGGGGAGTGGAAGGCAAAAAGAGGTAGGTAGGAAGAGAAGGGCCATCCTAGATAGAGTGTTTTAGAATAGGACAGATAAAAATTGGCAAATATATACAGTGATTTAGGTTGGTGAAGCTACGATTCGTACCCTTCTTATCATTGAATGATGGGTAGCTCTATATGGGTGTAGGTACAGATTAGAGTAGCCCTCCAAGAGGTTGCTCGAGCTTTTTAGTTCGAGAGCCTCGAAAGGACCATGAAAGAAATTTCATTGCGGAACACTCAAATACATGCCTTACTCAAGTGTGTGTTGCGTATAATAGTAATTTTATGCCTTTATGGGCATATGATGCATTCATCCGTTAGTTGTAGTTTGGTTGCACTTAAAAAAGACTTCAACTGGGGTTATGTCTTGGATGTTTATTGTAATCAATGCTAGGATTGTATAAGCCTAGGTTGATTTGGTTAACTATGGTTCGTTATCTTAGCTGCATAGTTTAAAATGGTGTCGCCATGGCGAGAGGCAACCGAGGCGAGGGGTCAACCGCCTTGCTACTGCCTGAAGCGACCCTGTTTCCGAGGCGCCCGTCAGCTCGCCGTTTCGAGTGGCGAGGCGCGCCTCTCTGTTTTAATGATAAAATAAAAAGTAAAACGCAACACGTTTTTAACTATGGAAAGATTCCATAGAGGACGTGAAATTAAAAGAAAAGAAACTGCTCGTCGAACATAGTCGAACAGAGTTTTTCACAGACAGAAAACTAGGGTTTAACTATGTGTGTGCCAAACGGGCATGTTGCTTATTTCTAGTATTTAACTATGTATGTGCCAAACTTTATGGTTTATTTGTACTTTCCTAAGTGGTGTTTGTGCTACGGCCTTGTGTTTCATTTGTGTTCTTGCCTTTTTCGATATATTTGATGTTATTTTTGTCATTTGAGCACAATATACAATTGCATTTCTACATTTTGGTGACGTGTAGATGAGGCCTTGCCATGGCGAATCGCCTCGTGGTAAGGCCATTGACCAATCGCCTCGCCATTTGCCATTTAAAGCTATGCTTAGTTGTGCTCCAACACTTCTCTATACCCCTCAAGAAAGCGGATATGTATCTCGTGACGAGTCGAAGAACCTTTTATTTCCATTGCCATTAGGCCTTTATATTCTATTTCTTTTGCTATAATTCTTCTGATTTTATGATCTTTGGTTTCTCAGGTCCTTGCAATCGCAAGTATGTTTATTTTTAAAAATCATACAACCAGCTTTGATGTCTATTGATTTCTTTGCCTTACTCAAGCAGTTTTTGGATGTTGGGAAGTCGAGCTCTGCTTCTATTGACTTCATATAGCTCTAAGTCACCCGTAGATTCTGTGGTCATCATTGGATATATTCTTGTTTATGTGACTGGTGATCTTTTGATATATTTCCTCTCCGACTATTGTTCCCTGATTTTGGGAGCTTTGAGGTTCAGTAGTTGTTCTATATGTAGGGATGGTAATTACAAATTTGGTCCGACCAGTCCCAACCTGCCATGTTTAGGACGACGATTCAGTGCAATGTTGGTTTGTTTTGTCCTCCATCAGGGATAGAATATATCAGGCTGACAATCTTTTCCAACTGAATGAGATTCGATATTCAGTTTCAGTTTCTAACCTGGACCCTCAGAATCATTCTTCAAAAAGGAGTTATGCTGGTTATTGATATTGCTTGACCAGACATTTCTCAGATACTTGGGACCTATTCCTGATACTGCTCTAAAGAGAATTAAAGACGAGTCAGGGCAGTAAAGTAAAGGATGAGGAGGATCTTTTTAAGCTTTTGACTTCTCTACGTGTACTCGTGAATTGATTCAAGCAGTAGCTTCTTCCCAAATTTATCAACAGATCACACTCCATAACTCGTATTAGCCAGCAGCCTCCTCAAATAGAGGAATATATCATACGCTTTTCTCATACAGTTGTGCTGGAGGAGAAACCTTGAGTAAAATGAGCTTGTGACCTGTTGACTACACTTTGCTATTATAGTTTCAAATCTTATATTTCTTTATATATATATATATATATTATTTCTCTAAATGAACTTCCTTGTTCAAAAGAATATATTATGCCCCTCATAATACCGAACTACCTTCTTTATATGCTTCGATTATTGCTTACTCGGGTGGATAACTCGCTGCAGGATATTCTCAATAATGGAACAAAACGAGACGGGCTGCCAAACTCCTCAAGCCCCCATTTTATGCGTCAACAACTGTGGCTTTTTCGGCACTGCAGCCACCATGAACATGTGCTCCAAGTGCTACAAAGATATCGTATTGAAGCAACAACAGGCCGAGCTTGCTGCCTCATCCATACAAAGCATCGTGAATGGGAGCTCAAGCACCTCAGACAAGGTCCCGGAAAACATCAATGCCGTTGAAAAAGCAAAGGCTGTTGTGTCCGAACCTGTTATTACAATACCTTCACCACAAGAATCATCAGCACCCTTACCCTCTGTAAGCGAGAAGAAGGATGATATTAAACAGGGCCCAAAACGTTGCGGAACTTGCAATAAGCGGGTTGGATTGACGGGATTCAATTGCCGATGTGGCGATATTTTCTGTGCCGTTCATCGTTATTCTGACAAACACGAGTGCCCGTTTGATTATCGAGCCGCAGGCCAGGAAGCCATAGCCAAAGCCAATCCAGTTGTTAAGGCTGAGAAGCTTGACAAGATATAGAATTGTGGAAGAAGTTCGTTTTTGCCTCTTGGGGTAATGTTTTATGCTTTTTCCATTTTCTTCTTTTCATCTCCATCTATTATTGGACGTGTGGGTTACTTTGTTTTGTGGCGCTCGATAGAGTCTTCCTTGGCCTTTGAGGGGTTAAGATGCATTAAGTTGGGGGGGTCTCTTTTGAGCCGAACAAATTTCGGGTGTTCTTATTTAGAACAAGAGTGTGGTCCTATGGTTGTGGTCCTCTGTGTTTTTAGTGCTTTGTTAAAGGTTTGGTTTGGTTTGGTTTGGTTTGGCAATTATTTATGATGGTTAAATTTCTGTACTTTGACTTTGTTATGGCATGAAGTTTAGGTTTTTAGGTGTGGTAATAATATGTAGTTTTGTCAATCTTGATCTTGACTGTCTCTTGGGAATTTATAGTGTGTGGTGTCTAATTTGAAAAGGTTCATAAAAATTCTGCTGGTCTAAAGAAAATTGACTGGTAAATGCACAAACTTTCAAGGATTATTATTATTATTATTATTATTATTTTAATATCCTTTGCTAGTTCTACATGTAAAGTTTATGATTTTTCTTTTAGGATTCCATTTTTTTTTTCTAAACGACAAATAAGATTATATTTAACTTCAAGTATAGTGCAATTGGTAATCAACTTGTTAAAATGATCATTCTAACTTAAATGACAGAAACAAACAAACCGGGGGAGTTCTTATCACGTGAGCTTCCCTCCATAAAGGAAATGGCTCTGTAAAAAACTTCATTTGAATAAAGGAGACAAAATACTCTCAGTCATTAAACTCCAAAATAAAGAGACAATACTCCATATAGTCTCATCATAAAAGCTCTCCAAGCTTTACATAGACCTCGTCATAAGAGCTCCCCTCCACAAACGAACATAGTTCTATAAAAATTGAGACAAAATACTCTACATATGAAGTTAAAAATAAAAACCTTCCCGCTACTGCCTCCCTGCAAGCCTAGACCCGACAGCCACCCGTAAACAGATTTGTCAATGATCTTAGGTGCACAAACAAACACGCCCCAAGAAGCCTACAAGCTTAAACCACAAACCCCGATCTGCATATCCAACAATCTCAAACCTAAGAACTTCAATACTTCAACAGAATGACTAAACAGATCTGACGAAGAACTTGGGTCCAAATCTGCCAACGAAAACGGACCTAGAGAAGATCAGCAAAAGTTGACAATGTGCAAGTTGGGTTTGAACTTGTTAATAAATTAGACAAAGACAATTTTTCGTGTCGGGCTCTTGGGTTGATTTGTTGTGTCTTTTTAATAAATCCAGTATAAGTTTTTAATACAAATAGATATCTATTATATGTGCCACAATTTTATTTATCTTGTTTTTAGAATATGATATTTCAATATTATGCATGCGAAAATTATATTTATGTTGTTTTTAAAATATGATATCTAAATTTAAAAGAATACATACATATTAAAAGAAGGTGGGCGAATAATGTGAACCAAGAGGGTGGAAACAAGATAATGATAATAGGGTCTTTCAACTGGTGCAGTGTGTATGTATTATTCAAGAGTGGAGTTTATTTAATTTTATTAACTATCCTCCATTAGCAACCAAATTGGACGGCTACATTTTGGCTGGCTGTCTCTGAGCATTTCATTCTATCTTCTTACTTTATTGACACATAGCATAAACAATTCTATATGGCATGAAAAATGTCTAAAAGATCTTCGAGATGTACAAGTTATTCTAGAATACTTCTATTATTTATTATATATTGTTTATTCATTTTTTATCTCTTATTCATCTAATTATAATTTTACACATCACAAATGACACCACAATTCACACTAACTACTGGAGACATAATTTTTTTATTTCCTTCTTCCATGTCATTCAACACAAAATGGGCAATGTTCCCTTGGAGATACTCTAATTTTCCAAATTCTAATATGATGCAGAATTGAATAAAATATTCATTCTTTAATATAATATTTTTTCCATGATGCTAACTTTTATAAATGTGAGGAAACTGGAGATAATTGGTAGGTAAGAAATTCATTCAACTATTATTTTACTGTTTATTAAACAACTTAGAATGTGATAAGAAATTCTTTTATTTGAGATTTTTTTTTTAGTTTGAGATTCTTTTATTTGAAATTCTTCATCAAGTTTCATTTTTTTATTCCAACTTATTATTTGATTATATCCATCCAGACACCAACATATTATTATATTTTCATTACTTGCAACTACCAACTACAAAGGATATCTACTAGTACTACAATGTTAATTGAAAATTTTATTGTTATCATCTTTACCGTCTTAATAGATAAAGTTCAAAACACGGGCTATTTCGAATCATCAATTTTTTTCTTTTTTTTTATTCAATCCTCCAACCAAAAAACATTATTTTAAAAAATTAAATAAGAAAAATACTACATGTACATAATAAATGTACGTGTACATAACACCACATGGAATGTGGTCCACTTAATTTTTTATTTTTAGTAGAACCTGTGTGAGTGTTATGTACACCTTTATTATTATGTACTTATAACATTATCTATTAAATAATAAAATAATATTATAGATACATAATAGTGTACATAGAGGTGTACATAACACTCACATTGAGTGAGTCCTACCAAAAATAAAAAATTAAGTGAACTCCACTTTATGTGAGTTATGTACACTTCTATGTCTCGTAGCATTTTTCTAAATAACATCTTAATTAATATCAACCTTCTATCGATAGTAACAAAAAAATGCTACGTGACAAAAATGTCAAATTATCAATCACCTTTAGCGCCAAAATCAAAATATCAACACCAGGGAAAAAGGGAAAAGAAAATACAAAATGATGACGAGAATCCATGTAATTACCACGTCAGATTCATCTAGAACCGCACTTTGTAGCAATTACGTCAAACATCTGAGGGTATATCCGTCAATTCATAGCCCCCATTTGCTCAATACGCGTCCATGGCCGACCTTCACGGTCTTCAAATCCCAGGCCACCATCCCTATACACAGCCACTTTCTCTCTCTAACCCCCCACCACCGCCGTTTTCTCTCTCTACCCACAATCCTCCCATTTTTCTCAAATTTTCATTTCTTTGATCCTATAAGAAATAAAAAAGTAAAATATGGCGCAGAGAACAGAGAAAGAAGAGACGGAGTTCAAGGTCGTACCGGACAACATCGCGCTGTGCGTCAAATGCGGCGTCGCCGGAAATCACGCCTCCGCTGCCGCCAGCATCATGTGCCAGAAATGCTTCAATTCGGTGAAGAGCCGCGCCGCCGCGGTGGAGGGATCCTTCAGATCCGGTCCGCCCGCGACGTTTTCGACGGAGGGGAGCTCGGATCTGCCCCCGGCGAGCGGCGATCTGGAGAAGGAGGCGTTAGTTGAGGCCGCGGCCGTTGCGCCGGCGAAGAGAGAGGTCAGCCGCTGCTCCGGATGCCGGAGGAAGGTCGGGCTGGCCGGATTCAGGTGTCGCTGCGGCGAGCTGTTCTGCGCCAGCCACCGGTACTCGGACCGCCACGACTGCAGCTACGACTACAAGTCCGCCGGGCGGGAAGCAATCGCGAGAGAGAATCCGGTGGTCAAGGCGGCGAAAATTGTCAGAATTTGAATCGGGAAAATCGACGGATTGATACGGCGTCATTCGGGTTTCAGCAGGCGAGCGTATGAATGAATTGTAGCCAGCGGGAATCGCAGCAGCTCGCTCTTCGCGTGAGGCGAACATCCTTTAATTTTCGTAATTTTTGTTAATTTAAATAAAAAAAAAAGAAAAAAAGAAAGAGAACTGGCTCATAGAATAAAGGAAATTTGTTTGTGATGAAATTATGGAAAGAAAAAATATTAGTTTGTTTTTTTTCCTCATTTCATGCTATGGTTAATTGAGACTTTTCCTTCCCTTTATTTTTTTATATATATATCTATTACATCTCCTAAACGACTTAATAAAAATGATAGACTATGGCCTTGTTTGGCGTATCTGCTCGGATTGTGGATTATATTAGCTGATTTGACCAGCGAATTGCATTAGCGGTTTTTATATAAGTGTTTGGTAAATAGTTGAAAGCTTATAGCTGTTTGACATTGCAAAATGACCAATAAAGACATTTTATTATTTACGGTGTATTCTTTTAATAATAATATATTAAAACATTTAATATTTTTTAGTTGGTAATTTATAAATATATATATATTTTTTTAAAATTTACTAACACTTGACGAAGAAGTTATAAATTTTATATTTTTCTACATAAATTAATCATATGGATGACATATTATTATTTATTAGCTCTATAAACCAATATAGATTGTAAAATAAATAAGACAAATTAAAAAGTTCTAAGTAAAACCTCTCAATTGTGAATCCTCTATCCCAAAAAGCTGTTCTAATGATCTTTTTCTAAATTAGAGTTTTGGGCCCAAAAAGCTTATCAAATAAGCTATTTACTAAACAAGCTCAATAGCGGATTTGACGGGTCAAATCTTTCAATTAAGTCCAATCCGCTAATTTATCTTCAATCTGTTATCTACCAAACGGGGCCTATGTTTGGTAAAGCAAGCTGATAACTGATAAGTAAGTTGATAGTTTACAAGTTAATTTCAAACTTATAGTTTAATTTTGAAAAACTAACTGATATGATAAAAATATTTTATAAAATTAGCTATTAGTCAAGTGAAAAATAAAATTTCAACCGAATTTTTTGAGAAGAATATTTAAATAAGCTTATGGGAAAAGTTCGATTTTCTTAAAAAAAAATATGTCCTATCAAAGTAAACTGCAAAACTTATGCTTATTTGAATATATAAAGTTTATAAACTAACTAAAAAATTATAAATTGACTTATAGGCTATAGCCCTTATCAAACGCAGACTGTGTCTCATTAAGGCATATAAGCTTTTAAACGAAACGACTTAAGTTCAAACTCATTTAAAGTTATTTAGTTAACAAGTTGACATGAGTCTTACTTTTAATTGAAATGAGTAAAGTTCAAACTTATTTAAAGTTGTTAGTTAACAAGTTGAGCTTGAGTTGAGCTCAACTTATTAAGCTAGCCTCCAACCACAACTGTTGATTCGTTATGGTGTGATAGTACCACATGGAGCATTAATTTGTTGGGTTGCAATTGGACATAAATTTTTTCGGTGTGATTGGATTTATTAAATAAAGTACAATAAAGATGATAAAATATGAAAAGTATTTTTTTATTTGATTTTGAGTTTGTGTTGCTTGTTTGGAGACAAGTTAATATGTAATGATTATAGTTGATGTAGTATAAATGTAAAAGGGATGTGATTGAATTTGATTGTTATGAAAAAATATACGAGTGTATAAACAATGAATTTTATTGATGTTATGTGTGATAATGATTGATTCATATTGTTGTACCTAAATATATCCGATCATAAGAGCTCCTGAAATACGAAGGTCCAATATGCTAAACAAAACCCACATAGCACACCATCCCTCTCGCAAACAGCCCATGATATCAAAGTT